ATATATATATATATATATATATATATATATATATATATATATATATATATCTTTCGTTTTCTCAAAATGGCTCTTTTTGATGAGAAAATAAAAGGTATATATGTATTTGATAGATATTTTCAAATTTGAAATGGTTTTGAAAACGGGTATAAATATAACTATGTTTTTCCTCGCAAATAATATCATCTTGTTTCAAAAATAAAGCGCGAAAATTAAGTAACACTTGCTATACAAGAAAAAAACTAGGGGCTTCCAATTGGGATCATACATGTACATACTAGCAGCTGTCATTAAGATGTGATTATCTTACTGTATGCTATAACACTAGGTATCGACTTGATTAATCGTGGAACTTGATATCAATGCTCTGCATATTCAATATTATCCCCAGCAAATTACATGGAGCACTGCAAAAATCAAAAAGTTTAAAGAAACAATCTGACAAATATTTCTTCTGTAAGTTTTATAAAGTTTAAGTGTAATCAGCCCTCAATAGAGAGGATAGTTTGAGTTATTCACAGTTCATAGAATAAAGTGAGGAGGAAAAACGAAATTAAGTTTTTATCATTCATTCTTACTATTTAAATTATTGTCACTCATCAGAAAGTCATCGAACGGGTTGATCCTTTCGGTAACGGCAGTTGCCAGCCTGAGAAGAGATTAAATCGCGACAACATGTATGCCAAAAAATTCAATGTCTCTTACTCCAGACAGGTATCGTGTTTCTTACCTTTTGAACTTTCATTATTTTTTATTATCATTCTTTTGATATTTTAAATTTGGGTTTCTTCTGTTAACTAACCTTCGTTTTGTTTCAACGAGCTACAGCTGTAAATGCTATAGGCTAATGTGTTACTTGGTATCTGGTCATCTGATCAGTTTACTGACTAATCAATCGATAGCCTAATGTATTAACTTTTTTAGCTATTGATACTCGGCGGTTGCTCAGTTAAACGATTTATATGCTGTATGCACCAGAGCATTGTCAAATGAACAGCTGTAATTAACTGTTCAAAAGTATACGTATGGGCTGGTTTTGATTTTTAGCATTCCCAGATCCTTAACCATTTAACTAGTTGCCTTTATTTCCAACTCTGTTCAAAGGCTTGTTTAGATTCTTGCCAGGCCGAAAAACAAGTTGAAGAATGTGGATGTGCTAGTGGCCAGTTTCCTTCCCATTCAGATATTTGTAATTTAAGGAACTCGACAACAGGTAAAGACAGTCGATTAAATTAAATTATTCAAGCAGCAAGGATTATCGATAATTTTTTTTACACAAAGTTTATTGCATTTTTTCTTTTTCAGCGAAATGTCTAGAAATGATACAACTCAAGTTGGTGACTGGGGAACTGAACTGCGAGAAGAATTGTCCTACGCCTTGCAGGTAAATTAAAACGCTCAATCAAAAATAAGCCAGCAAACTGAACTTTAGTCTTAGTGGGTATGCTTCAATTTAACCTGCACATAGTCAGGCGCTTCATTGCATGAATGAAAATCATCTCGATGTACACGTCTGCACACAGCGACATGCTATTCTAGTGATTTGTTTGATATCTGGCCGTTTCGCCTCCCATCATGTCTGTCGTGTCATGTCATGTCGTGTCGTGTCATATCATGCATTGTCGTTTCTTTAAATGTCTTATCATGCCCGTCACTTCATGTAATGTCAGGCAGTTTCGTGTCGTCTTTAGCTTACATGGTGTATTACAATGTAAACCTATCAAACGCATTTTAATACATCTTAGTCGTAATCCCTCTCATCGTCATTATCAACATTAATGTCCTTTTTCTTCTAGTGAAATTCAGTTCATGGCCACTCTTTCAATGGCGCAATATCCTGCCTATTTCTACGAGGTATTTGCAGTACTTTTTTAACTGCTTCAAATAACGTGAGTTTCGAATATTCGGTTCCAGCTGAGTTTTCCCAAGTCATTATACACTACCTTTTTTTAACTTTCAGGCAATACTTGAGTCACGTGTGAAGAAAAAGACCTCCATTTATAACGAGTTGTACAATGGATTTAATCTAAAGTGAGTAGCTATTCACTAAAACAAAACAAAAAATAAACCATAGAAATACTTGCACAAGTCGATTTACGTTAATGGAAACCAAAATCAGAATCGGACAATTAATCTGTAGGCATTTAGTCATAAATATTTAGGTCATTGATAATTTTTTTTGTTTCATTTGTTGTTTCATACAGCGAAAACTTTGCACAAGTGAAAATATACTACGAGCAGCTAAATTACCAAAAGGTCTCTGAAAGAATAAGCTATAAGGTATGTTGGTTTACATGTTAGGAATGATTACTTCCCTACGGATACTTGCGCGTCTCCTTTATACATTTCGAAAATGAACTCTCTTCACACAGAACCAAGAGTCGATTTATCTTCATCCTAGGGTTAGTTTTTCTTTATTGTCTCTTTAATGAACTTTGTCTTGTATAGGAAAAACGACGGAATCTCGATTAAGCCCTTAATGCTTAATAATCAATCACCTTTCTTGTTTTTTTCCCCGTCAGGGTGTTAATCTCGTCGCTGATATAGGAGGTCAGCTTGGCCTTTGGATTGGTATATCAGTGCTTACGTGTTGCGAGTTTTTGGAATTGGCAATAGTATTAATACAAACCGCTATCGGGCGTATGAGACGACGAAAACGTATTCACGTTCAACCTTAATTCAAAAATAGAGTTAATAATAAGAACAATAATTACAAAATAAACTATTCCCAGTGCCTTTTCTGAGTTTTTTCAGGAATTAAACGTTTAGCCAATACATAATCGATCGGATAATTGAGTGTGTATAACTTGCCTTCTCATCTACACTGCTTAAAAAGAGCAAAGAACCATGTGTAATTGTTTATCTTGTCGAGTGTAATTACCTCCTCAAATTATTAATATCTTTCTATCCATTTTACAATTTTAAACTATTAAAATGCAGCATTTTCTCGAAGCATCTCTTGTTACAATGCTTTAAAAATGTTAATAAGAAATGAAAAATGATAACAATAGTGATCATAACGATAATAATGACAAGTGGCATCTTAGTTTACGAGTATATAGCACTACTGGAAAAAATTACTCGTGGAAGAAGGAATGGAACGTATCTAAGATGCCAGTATTGGCAAAATTCGCAATATAGGACTTATAACTCAACACTTGTTTTAGGAGAGCAAGATATTTGTAAATATGCCATGTAATATTAAATGGGGGTACGTTTCTAAAGAAATTGTGGTGCTGCCTCGGTGGGAAAGTATAACAGGGTAATTTAGTATTATCAACTGAGTTGATAACGTAAATTCGTCAAAGCGAATGACGAAGGGCTAACGCTGGAAATGTCAGCTTCGAAACTCTTTTCGGTGGCCAATTTACGTTATCAACTTAGTAGATAATACTTAATTAACCTGTTAAAATATTGCTCTCTCAACTAAATTATCATGTCGGATTTGTCTGTATTGTAATAACTCCATAGGGTTTCAGTGACTGTATGATAACTTTCAAAACTAAGGGACGCAACCACCCACCGTGAACAAAATTACTGAGCGGTAGGATTTCTTATTGGTCATGAATATTTCATTCATCATTTTAGAGTGTCAATTTGACGCAGCTTTGTACAGTTTGTGTTCAACTTAAATGAAGCGTCAGAACTAACTTAGACTACTTTCCTAATACTCATAACCATATAAAAATAGTTACCATCTAATGTAAACCCAGAGCCCTGACAGGCGTACCACTAGAAAACAATATGGTAATTATCATATGCCAAGGATTTCATTATTTTTTTTGTCAACTTTACAAAGTTGATTTCGAGAATTTCTTTGAAGAATGCTAGCTATGTATACTTTTTCAGCAACGACATATTTTTTCTAGACAAGATCTGGTTGAATTGTCTCCAATGCTTAGGTAAATAAAACTAGACAGTTTGACTTTGGGATTAACCATCAGGCTCTGTTGTGAGGAATTTTCCTGATTACTTTAGGTCATAGATGTTTTGATTTGTTTTGCATCTTATTTCATTCTTTTGTTTTCTTATTTTTGGTCAACAATTTAAAAAAATTGAACGCTTTAAAGTGAACTCTCGACATTCTCTGAAACCAAAATTCAAATACGTAAAACCTGTCAAAAGCCGGTGGGTTTCCTTTTGATCTCGTTTATTTCATTGTATATATCTTAACTAAAGTCGGAGAAACAGACTCTTAGCATCTGCCGTCGTTTGCTTCGTGTTGTTTGTATTTAGTGTAATACAACCCACAAACACATGTCGGTAGTTTTTCCCCTCTAATTAATGAGTAACACTTCGCTAACCATCCATTTACGTTCAGAAGTGCATTCTCACGATTAGGTTTTTCGCTAGTTAGTCAGTTACAGTAGATCATTTTATGAAATGACTGCCTCTGTGATAAATAACGGAAGTTAAAGAAAGTTACGCAACGCATCTCAATGAAACAATATTCCCCCATTATAAAAATAAGTATCTATTTTGTTAATTAATTAGTTAGATTCGATTCCAGAATTTTCATTTGCAACAGAGGATAGAGCCATACTGAATCATATCGAAAGGCTTCCTTAAATCTTATATTTCTTGACTCATCCCTGCTTGACCATGTTGGATTCTTTGTCTGTTTTGAATTTGGACTGAAAGACACTTTTGTTTGTATCCAGGGAAGACAGCTCTAGTTATGAATAAGTAAAAATTCATTATTTACTTTAAAAGAGCCCACCAATTGGTCCTTTTTTCTATAAACACACAGAAAAGACGTTTCTATCGTCACTTGGAAAACTTTGACACAGGACCAGGTGACCGCGTCATTTCAGGACTAACGTTTTAGGTTATTACGAGAGTAGAAACCGCATATTTCTGGTATGTATTCATATTTTGAGGAACGTTTCAGCATTTACGAATTATCCATAATGACTTGACTTCGTATGTACGATGAATTGTGATCATGTACAGTTCAAGTCGATAATTGTATATTTTACTGCATTAACAGTTTTAACAAAGAATTTTATACTTCATCTTATTTACAACATCTCAAATATCTCTTTGGTAAGCAAAGAACACATTTATAAAATTCTTCAGACGTAGATTAATCAACAGTACTTAGATACGATCAAAAAATGGGTTTCTGCCTCTAATTGTTCAATGGAAGATGAACGAAGATTTCTGTTCAGAACCATTGCCCAAAAGCCTTTATAAAAAGAGATAAGGAGCTAATAATGAATATTGCATGCAATGTTAAAATTATTTTTTAGCGTTTTTCTTTCCTTTGAGATGAGAAAAGTAAAGCATAGGAACAAATTTAAGTTTTTGAAGGAGACCTGCAACGACTATGTGGAATAAAAAATGAAGTTATCATATTTGTATTAAATAATGAAGTGTAATTTTTAGACTTCAACATTTCAACATCACCAGAATTCAAGCAAAATAATATTTATGAAATACACCAACAGATGCATGCGAATCAGAATCAAAGCTCTCTAATCGCAAATTTTTTACAAGGCTTCTGTTTTCAATCCCTCCGAAGGGAAACCTCTCTGAGGTAATGGCAGGTGCAACGGAACATAATGTTAAGAAAAGCGAGGACAATCAATCGCCGAAAGAGCTAATCAAGGATTTTTGTGGCTATACAACAACGCATGGAATTGGGCGACTGGCAGAGGCAAGGACACTGTTCAGCCGTTTTATATGGACTATTTTCATACTTGGAGCATTTACCATGTTTATATTCCAAACGCATGGCTTGTTCACACTGTGGCTGAGTCGTCCTGTTGCTACTGTGGTAAAGGTGAAACATAACGCTGTGAGTATTTCATGATATTATTATTCTATTCCATTTAATTGAAGAAACTTGTTTTGATTGTTTCCGTTTTGTTTGGTTTGTTTGTTTGTTTGTTTGTTTGTTCTGTTCGCTACTTTACTTTGATTTTTTATACCATGGCATGCTTTTAGAAAATAATGAAACTCATCAATAGATTGGTTTGGCTCCTTCATTAATTCAAATACTATTATTTTTTTGCTTACCTCTTTTAGTTATTTGTTTGCATGTTTCTATTTTGTTTTGTTTTATTTTATTTGTTTATTTTTTTTTTACTTATAGCATGTGAGTTTTCCAGCCGTCACAATCTGCAACCAAAACCCTATTAAGGAAAGCGAAATTTCGAAACGTTATTTAGATGAAATTTACAAAGAAATTGACGAAAGGATGAAGGAACAGAAAAATGTTGCCTCACAAGGTAAGCAGCTCTTCTTATGAGGTTTTGAACGATTTTGAGAGCTTTTGAAAGACACTTTGAAACGATTAAGACACCTTTCGCATTATCTTCACACATACTAGACCCAGATAATGCTGACATGCCAACCAACGATGCAAATGTCCAACCAACTACAGAAGACGATCTAGCAACCCCCACTGACGCTTCTGGATCCGGAGAGGGAGACCGGTCTCCTAAAAACAACGACACAACGGAACACTATACTCCAGAGGAACAGCTCATTGTCGACTATCTATTTGAGGACTTGCTACTCTCATTTTTAGCATTAGAAAACCAAACAACCCTGCACAAAATGGGTCACAAGTATGAGGATTTCGTGTATGACTGCAACTTCAGGGGAATTGACTGCAGGTAATCATTCGTCAGTATCCAAAAGGAACTGAAAAGAGGTCGGAGCTGCGTGAAGATTATCCCCTTTCTTATGTTTCTTTTTTCTTTGTTCGTGTTGTTGTGTTTTTTTTTTTTTTTGACATAATGGAAAAGAACGATATCTGTTTGTTGTTCTTGTTCTCGTTCTCGTTCTTGTTTTTGTTCTTCTTCTTCATTGTCATCATCGTCTTCTTTTTTTCCTTTTCATTTTCCTCTCTTGTTACCAATCAATTTCACATATACAATTAATACATGTAAAAGTGAAAGCAAGAATCTTAACTTACAGGAAAAACTACTCAGAATACTGGAACAAGTTTTGGGACTATCGGTACGGTAATTGCTACACATTTAATGGTGGAGTGAATGACGATCACAACAACCAGACAGTTTTAGAAACTCACAATACAGGTCCATCAGGAGGTAAGGAATCTTAATATTTGAATCTTAATATCAATCAACCTCCACGCAGCTGGCTTAGCGTGCAGACTGCCGGAGTGCCCCCACACTGTAAAAACCCGTAGCACCAAAAAAGCCCTTGGGAGAGTTTGCTATCTCTTCGATGAAATCTGCAAAATTGTGATCGGTCAAAAAGTTTTCTTTTTTCACAAACGTTTATAGAACCACTATGACGTACTTTTTGGTTCGAACTGCAATGTTAGTACGAAGGCGTCGATCATCAAAAATCCTTTTTACTTTCAGGGCTCAAATTAAACCTTAACATTGAGTCAAACGAGTATGTGCCAGAGATAAGTCAAGCTGCTGGCGCGAGAATAGTGATCCACCCCCAAGGAGAAATGCCTTTCCCAGATGAAGAAGGTGTCAACCTGGTGCCAGGTTTTTCGACTGCCATTGGAGTTCGAAGGGTAGAAATTTATTTTTCATCATTGTTGTATCATTTATACCATCATCATTTGTTTTGTATTCTCCTTTGTCACCTTTTGTCATGGCGTATTTTCAATACTAGATCTAAAGAACTGCTATCGATCCATCTGTACTTTCTTTAACACCTTAATTCCTCTTCTTTTAATTCGGCTACGTTAAATTCATTTCACTAGTTTGCTGATGAACGGAAATGAGTTTCACTATCTTCTATCTCAATGGTAGAGTGTAGACTTCATGTGTTGGAGTTTTAATTTTTTTTAATAATATGCGGTTTGTTTGTTTCCATTTGTTGAATATATATTGTTTCTGTCATATTCCAAAATACCATGGCCACAAAAGGGAAACATACATCATCGCCGAGTTTTAAATTTCATATCTGGTTCACTTTTATACAGGAAGTTGTTATTAGAGTGGATCCTTTCAACAATGGAAGCTGCAGAAATCCTGACAGCAAGCAAAAAAATGATCTTTATAAAGTGAAATATGGATCATTTTATTCACGGGAGGTACGAGTTAGCAATTTTAGGGCCAAAAAATAATTAGCCATTTTTTCCTTGTATTTGATAATGCCATCAACGAAACCTCCTCCCATTACGTAAGGGCTAACGTACTCAGAATGAATGTCTACTTCACCTTGCCGTTTTTCTCGATTGGGCACTTTTCGATTTGAAGTAAAGAAACCACAAGCAAATAAGGCAAAAAAGGGAGGGTGACCTATAGTAAGTAAAGTAAAACTGATGTGATTTCGTTTTATAATTTCGACTAAGAATAACCCAAAATCACAAACACGAAAAGAAATGAAGGTTGATTTGTGCGACACCTTGTTGCTCTTGGAAACGGTAGGCATGGTTTAGCGTACTTTCCATTCTGAATGCATTAAACTGCATTGTCCCTATATATATCACTCATCTTTCTTATCTGTTAGAATCAGCGTTGCGATGTTAAAATGTAATTTCTTTCTGAGACGGTTTTCGATTTTCTATAACGTTACTTATGTATTTTCAGTCTTGCATGCGGTCCTGCCTGGCGAGAGCCCAAATAAAGAAGTGTGGATGTGCTGACGCTCGATTTCCTGTCGAGGAGCGTCACATTTGCGACAAAATTAAGAAACCTGATACAGGTTAGGGCTGAATTTTTTTGTTATCAATCGATTTTTTTTTTATTTTTCCACGTTTCATTTCACTCCTGCTTCCCAATTCCTTGGTCGATTATTTACTACACAAATTTTGAGCTCTACCGCGATGACAGCATATACCTCCTATATGTAATTTTGAGATGCAGGGCAATTCCTCGATCCATATCAGCACTTAGTGACTTCCTTTTGCTGTTCTATGACGAAAAGCACGTCTCGATTGTTCGCCGCCTTGATCTCAATTTGCTGCATTTTTATGTCTCAGAGATTTGCCTTGATGACTTAACAACTCAGTTCAACGAGGAAGGTCTTGACTGCGATACAGACTGCCCTGTTCCTTGCAGGTGAAAATACACTGAATTTATCAGCTCAATTCTTAAATAAAGAAATACAAAACGCGCCGAGTGCATTGTTGAGTTATGTAAGCACGCGGGAATTTTTTAGAAGACGAGAGAAGTACGGAGAAGCACGAGCCGAAGGCGAGTGCTTCCTGCACTTCTCGATTGCGAGAAGAGCGAGAATGCATTGTGAATTGCGCGCGCTCGTACCGATGAAGTAAGCTGCGTGCATTATGCCTCAACAGTGCACTCATGTGACTAAGGCGCGTGCTTTATAGAAATATAATAAACTTGTTCTGACCAATCACAGCGTGCACGTTCCTCTGAACGTTTTTTAAAGGCGTAATAAATGACTCGCAAAGTGGATCACAGGCAGCCCAAGCTTCAGCTATGAGATGATCACCTTGCGTAATAAGAGTCATGGGGAAGGTATAAGAGCTTGTATGAGAATATTTACGACCGCTCTTGGGAATAAAACTTGAAAATACAGTCAAATTTTCAATGAAAATACCTCGCCTTACGTTCACAATGCATTTCTTGTTGTCTGACCACTTACTTCGTCGCAACGAGGCCATTTTAGGGACTTATCCATTTCTAGGATTGCTAATCCCAAGAGAAGGACAAGGCTGCACACTCCATTTCCAAACCATGGTTCTAAAACAATTTATTGATGCCAAATGACGGTGTGGTCCCCGGTGAGGCACAGTTTACTATGGAGGCAGGGTCACTAAGCTGGTTTTCAACGGCCGTGTGTCGTGGTTAATGTGTACGTGGGTCGTTAAACGTCTAACTGGAAAATTTGGAAGCAAACTTCGGTTTAGCGTCGGTTTAACGTCGGTTAAGCGTCGGTTTAGCATAAATATTCCCATACAAACTCTCATATTTTCACCATAACTTTTATTTCGCAAGATGATCATCTCACAGCTGGAGCTTGGGTTGCCTGTAGGTGGATGTATATCTGCTTGGATCAGATGCTGGTAATTCATATTATTTCAAACAACATGAATGAAGTTTAAGAGGCACCCATTAAATGATGCGTTTGAAAAAAATCTCCTAACTCGCTTTAGACAAGAAATATCCACGTTCTCGTCTCCAGAGTTTTAAATTCCACAATATAACGGACTCCAACAGCTTGACAACTAGATCATTAGCTATATTTTATTAACAGACCTTAAACAAAGAGCGAGCATCTCTAAAAAAGTATGGTGAGAAGTTTTATAGAGTAACGATCACTTTTTATCTTTATTTCTGCCGTCTTGTCAAATTCCAGTGAACTGATATACAAAACCTCCATGTCCATGGCAGAGTGGCCCTCCGAAGGATTCCAGGTGGGACTGTTTATTTCTCTGCATTCATTAAAACATTTCGAACCTCTTTCTTAGTTCCAGAGACGAAATATGGGTGAATACAGGGTCATTTAGTATTATCAACTGAGTTCATGATGTAAATCGGCCACCGTAGAGACTTTAAAAGCTGACGCTTCGAGCGTTAGCCCTTCGTCAGAGCGATTGGATGTAGCTGACTACATCCTTCATTTCCTTTTATCCAGCATGTTCTCCAGGACTCTTCCTCGAAAGAGAAAGAAAGTGATGTTAGATATTAGTACATGCCGGTATAAGTAACAAGTTTCAGCACCATGCGTTAAAAGAGAAAGAGCAGCAGCAAGAAACAAAATGAAAAGCATACAATATACAATGCCAACCAGCCTAAACTCAAATACAAACACAATATAAAGCAAACAAAATAAAAAGCATACAATATATCATGCCAACTAGCCTAAAGTCAAATAAAAACACAATATAAAGCAAACAATATAACTAGGATGAAACAAAATCCAAAACAAAGTAAAGTTTAAAGTGCTTTGTGGTAACAACAAAAAAAAATAATGCCTTTATCAATATAAGCCTCATCTTTTTACTCTCGTATCTAATGACAACTTGCAGTCATTTTTTACTTTGCTAACAAAGTGCCAATAATAATTGCTCTATTAAAACAAAACCCAACTCTAGCTTCTCAAAAAATAAAATTAAAGCTACCATGGGTTCTTTTCATATTTACTAGGATGTGCTGTACAATCGTGTCATCAAAAGGAAAAATGCAGCGGCTCAAAATCAAAAAGCAGAGGGTCCTGAGTTTTTAAAGTAAGTAAGCAATGATCATTTACGAAGATAAACACATGAATAATAGAAATGATAATAATAACAATCATAACCATAATCATACATAAAATAATCATTATTTATGACTTCAAAGTGTAATCCTCGTCACAACTCAAGGATGCATTTGAATTAATCTGCATTTCTCGTGTACTTCAATTTCACAGTCGAAACTTCCTTCAAGTGAAAGTGTTTTACGAGCGACTCAACTTTCAGGAAGTTCAAGAATACCTGAGTTACAAGGTGAATTTTTACACTTAGAAAATCAATCGTAATGATGTCTTCAACCTACGCGTATCAGAACCAGTTGCCACTGAGAGTCCTAGACTTCTGTCTTTTTTAAGGCTGGATGACTGTATCATAATGTTTTCATTAATTTCATTATCATCACTCTTATCATTCTTAATAGGGGATTAACTTGATTGCCGACATTGGAGGCCAACTTGGTTTGTGGATTGGTATTTCGGTACTAACCTGCTGCGAAGTTCTGGAGTTGGTGCTGCTCCTGGGGCAGACTGTTTTTAAAAGGATCACTATGAAAGAAAGTAGGGTAGAAATACGGGAATAGCGGCAAAAAGTTAGAATGACCAAAACGTCTTTAGAACAAACATTGGGTATATTGGACGATTTTTCCTCCTCTCTCAGAAGCTCAGTTTAGTAACTATAGTAACAAGGATAGTATCGACATTGTAGATTGACAACAAAACAACGTCGATTTCACTTTAATAGTTTAGAAAAATACGAAAAAAAAATTAATTTCAAACTATTTCTTAAGGAACTTTTGTATCAGTAGATATAATGCTCACTCGAGTTTCGTGGCAAGTTACATGCATTACCATGGCAAATATGACGTAATTATATGGGGATTATTCTTTGGTCGCTTTCTCTCCAAATTTTTAACCAACCACGCCATCTGCACTTCAAGTAACACCTTATATAAAACATTGAAGCAAAAGAATGGCTAAGAAGTAGGATGTGTTATTCGGCAAAAAAAAACATTGTAAAAATTACTATTATATTTAGTTTCTACCGACATTCGCTGGATGGAAAATCATCGCGAAAAGCCAGCTGAAAAAGCAAGCTTGTATAACTAACATCACTAAGGAAACCACTATCATATATAACCTTTCAGAATGCAAGTTCTTGTATAATGGGCTATAGTATTTACCAGACAGGTTGAATAGTGCTTTTTGGCCGCGCTGGTTGGCTGGTTTGGAAATGATTAGCAAGTACTATTCACCTGAGCATTCAAAGAGACAAACTCGCGTTAACAATTAAATTTCTGACCATTTTGGTATGTGGACAGAAATGAACTTGTTGTTTTGGTTTCTGTGTGGTATATACAAGAACAATTATTTACCTCAGTGTGAGTGAAAGTGGATATGATATTTGACTTGCTGCTTCGCAGCTCGGTAAATATCCACCACTATTCACCTCCAATTCGGTGATTATTGTTATTTGAATAATTCGACAAAGCCAGTACAGAGTTGCCAAAATAAATAATTACGGGCAAAATTCTCTGGAGCAATAATAAAGTATTTCGATGGTCTCACAATGTAGTCACTTCCGATGTGGATCACGAAGTTTCAATTGCATTCGTCTAATCTTATTCAGGCGATGAGGTTGATTACTTATGTCAATTTAACTTCACAAAGCACTTCCAATGGCTATTTCTAAGAATTTTTCTTTAAAAGCATAAAAATTATATTTTATGTTGCAAGAATCTGACATCAAGCTCACTGCGTTTCTTTCACTCTGCCAAAGAGCGCTTTTTCAACCAATCGAAGTTCCCGTTATAATGAAACTCCAGTCAAACTATTTCAATATCATTTTAACCAAAGTCTTTGATTAAAGGAGCGGGAAAGAGAGAAAGGAGTGCTCAGAAAGGGGAAAAAGGGGTTCTTTATCCTTTCACTCCCAAAATCTCGTCAGTAATTCTGCTTACTATCTGCCACACGATTCTTATGATGTTAGTTTGGAGAATTTGGTATTGGATCAACTTGTAGCCCGATAATCGAGTTTTCTTCTTTATTCTCCTTTATTCACACATGGGAGTTAAACGGTTGAAGGGGAGAGGAAGGGAAATCCTAAATTTCATTAAAGGTACTGAGGCTTATGTCAGATAAACATAATATAATGATGACCGAGCTCGAACGAAAAAGAGGAAGGATCCATTTCTGAACAAAAACAGTTTAACAATTTAATGATATTGAGGCGTTAATGACACTGGGTCTACATCTTGCATCTTATTTAAAAACAACAGACTGCTACTAACCAATGTTAGATTGTCAATGTCTTTCGGTGTCATTATATTAGGTTCAGAACCTGGTCCTAGGAAGTCATTTATATCACAACTTTGAAAAACGCTGCTGTCGTCAATCTCTAGAAAATTTGTATTTTAGATGACAAAGTTAAGCTTGATACATCACTATAGATCATTCCTGGAAAAAAGGAACTTGCGGATACCTTTGAGCAAATTCTAAATCGATTGGAGACCTGATAACGAGCTCTTATCCTAGAATTTCCGTCGAAACATACTTGATCAGTTCTAGACGCCCTTAACTCTTTGAACAATTCTACGTATTTCAAGTCACCTCAGACAGTTTTCTGGGCTCAATATGTCGTTTATAACTCATACGCGCCCAAAAAGTTGATAGTATGATCTCCTTCTATGGTGCCATGACCTAGAAGTCTCACTGTTACTATACTTGACTTTTTCATTACAAAAACAGCTCCAGAATAGGTGGCTTCTTCACCTTTCACAACTTTTGACAAGTGAATATTTCCGTTGATCAAGATTTCAAATCCTGTCCTATCATTGTCTGTTTGAAGGAAGTGAAATTGGCAGTATACGAAGTAGCGACCATCTCGTGGAATTTCCAAGGATGTGTTGGTGGATTTTATCCCTCCAGCCAGATGTGAAGTTGGACACTCCGAGCACCAGCGGGAATATTCTGCTCGAGAAAAATAGAGACATGTGTATACACAATATTTCATTTATACATTTTTGTCTGTAGAAAGCAGTCAACATTAAATAATTTTATGATAATGTCAAAATCAAAGCGCCAATCATGATAAGGATCTCAATGTCTCATAAGATATTCTGCGATGTTCACGACCAGGTGCGTGAATTTGAGAAAATCGGTTCAGATTTTCTTCTCTATCACCCTAAGATATGTTCCCATGGTTAGACAAAGAAACAATTCATTTGGCACTCAGGATAGATAGACATTATCATATGTTGTAGCATTACTAACTTACCCAGACCGTCTGAGAAACGAAATGCTTTACCATCACTCGTCACATGAACAGATGGCTTCTCCTAAAAAGAAAGCAAAACGATAAAATGAATCGGCAATTCAACAATCAACAACTCACTTGTCGATCAATACGTCAATCACTCAAATGTTATCGCCACACTTGACATAATTTGTAGAAAGTGCAGCACCACAAATCGGTGTCCTTCCTCTGTGCTGATGCATTCCAGACATTCTATCAGTTGAATGTGATAAAAATCATCGGTTCCTTCGTATTAAGACAAACAAACCAGCTTACAATTTTATTCGATTCTTCGATTGTTTGTTGTTGTTGTTGTTGTTATTCACAAAGCTTACCTCCTTGTTCGTAGTCGTTGAAGACGTAACAACACCACGAGTTTCATACGCTTCAGCGCACCCCTTTAATCCAAGTTGCATTTGAAAGGAGAAAAAAAAAAGCTGATGATGAGACTCTAGAATGTTTTCTTTTGTCGCTTGTGAACTCAAATACCTCATCACTTACCCATGTACCATAACCGTTTCAAATTTCATACTTAGGCTAAAAAAAAAGATGTTATTTTTGTTCATCAAAGAAATTTTTCTCTCCCCCTTTGTCACCAAAATTTAACTAGCGAGAGTTTCCTCAAATTTCTGTTTTCAACAAAAAAAAAAATTCGGGCCCCAGTATTCTTAAGGTGGAGTCGACATCATGATCAAGCGAGAGTGGACTCGATTGTACTAATTACGTATTCTTTAAAGTACAAAAAGAAAAATGAGTCACTCTGCTGATGATCGATTGCAGCACATCCAGAAGTAAAAGTCGCATTATGTTGTATGTAGTCAAGCAAAGGCTAGATTTAATGAGTTTCCATCAGCCACTAGGTGATATTTTTCATTAATGAGCCTTGTAGACTCTTTTCCGCTAACCTTTGATGATCCAGAGGGCCCGGCTGGTCCAGGAGGGCCGGGATAGCCAGGGTCACCCTGCAATAATTGAAAAAACAATATTCAATTATCTAATTATCTATTTGTTCATTTTAATTCATGCCTCTCCCAATCAATGGATCGATTCGGTTTTTTGGTATAAGTGATTAAATCTGTTCACTTAATGTATAGTAAAGATTACCGAGTTTTAGCAACTCCTTACTTTTGGACCGTCCCTTCCATCTCTTCCATCCTTTCCATCTTTACCATCCCTTCCATCTTTCCCCTTCAGTAAAGGAGCCACCTTTTTTATCAAGTCTTCAAGCGACATGGGATTGAAATTCAGTGGCTTTTCGTCTTGGGAGCTTTTCGACAGAGAAATCACGTCCTTTTTTCAAAAAAAAAATATGCATCAAACGATCAGAGTTAAAAGGAAGAAAAACAAACAAAAAAAAATTACATACAAACTAGCAACGAGCAATAACACTAACTTTTCAACCAAAATTCAACAAAAAACAGACAAAGACAAAAAAGACGTCCGACGGAAAAAAAGGTTGAACTAAGATGATTATTCCTCTTACATTTTCATGTAGACTCTTTTTTTCCCGTATGTATGACCTGTCTTCATTTCGTGGACCAGCCGTAAAATGGTGATATCTGTCTGAATTCTCAGCAACACCCATATAGTCTTTTAACATACCCAGACCCTCAGGAAGCTGGCGTTTATCAACTGAATGTTCTCTCTCCGTTCCTGATGAGCCCTCTTCAATTCTTTGTTTGCTAGCCAAATTGGCAATTTTGTCGTGGATATTCCTCTTAACTTGGTCGTCATATCTCGGTTCAATATTTCTTCGTCGTCGCACGAGATGCAGAGCCTCGTGTATCAAAGCACTTGGGTTGGCTGCAAGTTCTTTGGCCTTAAGCTTAGTCAACCCTAAGGCAGTTTCACTTGCGTTGTCGTTGAACTTTGCCCTTTGGCCGGTCACCACAAGGACTGAAGCAGTTATCAGTGAAAGCAAAACCTCAAACTTGTTTGAAAATTTCATCATTGATGCTTATTGCACACGTAAGGCATTTCTGAAAAGGAAAACATTAAAAAGGAAAAGGAAACATTAAAAAGGAACATATTTTCAAACAGAAAGCCGCCAACTGTGCAGCCTGTTGCTCAAAACAACAATAACAACAACAACAACAACAAAAACAGCAGCAACTGAAACATCAAGTCTAACTGACTGACCCTCTGAAAAACTGACCAGGCGGTCTCACATATCAGATTGGTTTATGATCACTCACTGTCTTCTACCTGACCAATGGCTTAGATGTCGGATGGCTGATTTGGTGAAATGACTTCCAAAATAATTCATTAACTCAAACATTTGAAAGATTCTCCGTTGTCTTCAAGTTGCCCCCCTTCTTTATGTTATGATTCTTTAGATTAAAGGATAACTGACAAATTCTGTATCATCTGTTCACCCCCCACAAACATTTTAATTAAACTTAACGAGTGTTTACCCATATAAATAAATGACAGATGCTTTAAATGCTTTATTTGATATGAGATTTTCATTTACAATCTCTAACAATAATGTCATTCTAGGTCAAACGATATTTCACCTTCCAAATCGGTTTTGAAGTCCTTAAATTCTATGAAAAGGCTATTCACTTCTCCCTTAATGGTATAAAAGATGAAAAAATGATACTGTTAAGGAAGAATGTTCACTAAGTTCCTTAATTGAAGTAAATTTCTATTTTATTTTATACACAAACTCAGTGAAGCGGAAAATCTGATCAGACATTGGCCCTTCATGGCATACAACTTCTTTTTGGTTGCTAATACTGATGGCAAATGAAAGATAGTGGAGTGTTTGTAGTCAAAAACGTTTCTGATTTCCTTACTTTCCTACAAATTATTATTTTGAATAACTGAAAAAATTATATTTTATAATTTTGTTAATCGCTCTTTGTATCTTGCAACGAATAAGTTACATCTTATTAGTTGCCTTCGCAATATTTGATAGTGTCTTCAGGTTTCCGTTGTTGAAATAGGAATAAATATATTTTTTCCAGCAAGTTAAGGTTCAGTAAATTTTGTTTAAATCAGAGGTGACAGTTTTCAAGTGGGAGGTAATTAATTGGAAGCCGTGAAAAAGCAAGAAATTGTCCCACGCCACCCGCAAATGCAAATACTTGTAAAAAGCAAATATCTAAACAACAGCTGATGTCAACACAAGTATTAACCCTATAATCTACTCAACAAAATCTTATTTCATTTTTCTTTTCAAACGCTCACTCACAAAAGGAAGAAGAAACGTTTATTGAAGCTTTGCCTTATTCATTGGCGATTGGCTAAAACTGTTTTCAGAGCAGGTGCTCTTCAGGGGGTCATAAGTTCAAACAAAACAATGGCAATGATAAAATAGTCGACCACCATTGTCAGTAACAGAAATTAATATATTGAGTTACGCCCTAATTTAGAGTTATTTTTAATCCTTTTAACTAATAAACCCGCTGAGTTAGATTTTCTCAGGAGTTAATGTTAATGGCCAAGAGAGCGTCTTTGAGATGTCAAATGAGTATATGCTGTATTTTTCCATTAAATTTAGGCAAACTCACTACTAGACGAACGCCATCAATACGGATCAAAACCTATAGGAAGCGACGGCTGACAACGAGCTGTATTTCATTCAAAGTTACAATAACGGTTTTAAAAGCATCCTTTGTCATCCAGAATTCTCAGCAGTTGTTCTACTCCCTGGGAATCTAATTGCCTACCAGTCGAAATTAAATATAACTTAACCATCAAGATGGAAGTCATGAAACAGGTAGTTATCTTCGCTTCTGCGACTTAAATTCTAGATTGCTACATGTCCTATATTATAATTTCATCTTTTCCCGGATTCTTTATAATAAAGGAGCACAACCTGGTAGGAATTAGGTCTTTTAGAGCCACCAGTCTCGTTGACGGTTTCAAACAAACTCGTTCTTGTAGAGCAGGTGTATTACTGTTGACCAATTTAGCTGGTGTTGCCCTCGAAAACGTCTTTCAATTTCGACCCTCTAAGATATAACCGAGTTTAGACTTACCTGGATAGATTCCAGTCGCTCTTTGACTCGTTTCGAACATTTCAAAGGGTGCTTTGGAGCATTTTGCACACGAAAAAATCGCATCAGTGCTTCGTTAAACTCGAATGTCGTTCTTCTGAAGCATTACCAATTCTTACAGAGGCAAAGCAGGTGGCTCTCAGTCATTCACCCACTCGGGGTAAGTGATTTCAAAAAAAAAAATTTATCGAATTAGCCTGATAAAATTATGTCTCTGTTGAACATAAGCACAGCAGTCTTCTCGAAGAGAAGATTTTTGAAATACTTTTATTCAGTTCAGTTTCTTTCTAAAAGAGCACTTGAATACCCCGACGTTGGTACGCATGAAAATCTCTACGCTTGACCCAAACGGAAACATGAAAAATTATTTGTCAACAAATGTTGCTTTCTTAGCGAAGGATTTCAATCGAGTATTGTGCGCTTATACTTCCTTCCTTCATTAAAGGTATTTATAAGTTTAACAATAGTTTTCCCAAAGATAATTGAAGGGAAATTACATAAGGACATGCAATTACGATAATCAGCGCAAATTAGTTACGGCACTTAGATTTCTAGGGACTCACTGAAACGTTGAAAACAAACAAAAACAATCATGATTGTTTTCAAACTGTAACCCATCGTTTCAATGTAGTAGAGGTTGAACTTCCCCTTCAAGGAGCTTTCCATCATTCTAATCACTAATCACTAGAAAGGAAGCATTTTAGAACTTAAATAGATATGATAACTGAATAGCATTCACTTTAAGAAAATCCAACATTTTTATCCAAATTGAAACACTCGTTTTCCCGGAGGCAACTTTATTTGGAGTATAGTTTTAGACGTAGTTTTAAACAACACAAAGTGGATAGTAAGCTGGAAAAGTTCCCTAAATTACTTACCTTTCATATCTATTTTTCCATGTGCGAGCTCTAATTGCAAATAGGAAATCCTGAACGAACGATGCGTTTTCTCAAATGGATTCAACTTCTACTTTGTCACAGTTGTAATATGTTAAAGCATGTCCTTTTGTTTTTTCGATAGACGGGAAGTTCGTCTGAACTGTTCGCTCGATAGGATTCCAACCGGGAGTATGACATAATAGCTTTGTGACGCTATCAGCTTACTCCCAAAGTAGTTAGGTGTAAAGAAAGCTCTTAACCCCCCTGATGTTACAATTCCCTTTAGTTTCGTTCAGTATTGCAACAAAGTCGTCCTTTTTATTGTTTTTCCTAAGCTTTTTCTTTGTTCAGAACAATGCTTAGAGAGCATTAGACTTTCAAAAGAATTCGTAATTTATGGACAGTGTCGTCTCGGTCCATGAAAACGGAAAAAAGAAACGAGGCTAATATCTAGCCAGTTTGACCAAACAAGTTCGGTCAATAAAATATTTTCTATATTCTACATTTAATTTTTATTTTTAATTCTCTATCTTTTTTAAGATTTCGCTTTATCAAGAATCAAGAATTACTTACCACAGTATGATAAATTCAAACATTTGTAACAAAGATTGCGACTTTGACATGTTAGCAACTTATTATTTCATGACAATTGAGCACCTCTCGCATACAGTGCACAGTTATGCATAAATGTTTTTTTGGAGTTAAAACAGCCGCTTCATGTTCCAAATTTTCAAATGTTTATTAAAACTGGGGTGATCCCTTTGTGTCACTGATGTGAAGTTTAGCTATAAAAGCGACTAAATGAAGACGACTCTCAGTGATTGAGTTAACACTAAATTATTGTTAATTCTGCCAGATTCACCCATGGAACAGCCATCCAAGGGATGCACGGAGATGACTCCTTTACCCAATGTTTCTGACCACATTGGATTCCTCACATATGTTCCACCAAGACCATGTACTACTTTTTGCAGTTTCTGGTCAATCGTCTTGAAGTTGCTCTCATATCCAACTCTGTCCCATGTTATATCAATGTCATCGATTTTTTTTGTCGAAAGAAATTTCCCCAAATGCAATGTCATGACTCATACTAAGAAGAGAGAGGGTGTTGTTGATTCCTTTGCCTTGAAGTTCCTGACGAATGAAGACAAATTCTGATTGTTTTCATTGATCCCAAAGGTAAAAGATGTAAGTGTTAACTCTTATACACATTTTCAGTTGTTGTTTGCTCGCGATTTAAATATTTTTTAATCGGAGTACTGTGATCATGATCATGTGATCATGTAGGGATTTCTAAGCTCGAGATTCTAGTCCAATAGTTTGTATTTTTTGTGTACACGCCCCTTTAACAATTACACACGAACGCATCAATCTTTATAGTTAGCAACAGTACTCTAGACTCATCAAAAAACAACAGAACACTGAACTAATTAGTAGAATGTTCGTCAGACTTTTGGAACATTATCTTTTGGGGGCCTCAAAAATTCTACTTCTGTATCATTTGATATAGCAGCTGTAGATGTTTCGAAATTCTCAGGAGGTACATCGGAGGAACTTTTAATTTGAAATGTATGCTGTACTTATCGACACCTTGGTTGCTACGTAATGCATTACCTGAAATGCTTTCTCGAGCGTTCAGTTGAAGGAGATTTATCTTCCCCGGTCATCTTTGCGGCAAAACTTACACCAAATGCAAACATCTCAGAAAGGCTTGAGGCCGGTATGCCATCTTTGATGATTATGTTTTTTCCAAAATTGTCGTTATTCACTTTTCGGAAGTCCATAATTGAAGTAATTGTTGGTCCTGGGGTTAGACAGACGCCATTTTGCGGGTCTCAACCCCAAGAGAATTTGCTTTTTTGCCTCCATTTTTTAATTCAACCGCGTCTCCGTCGGTGGAGAACCTTTTGCTAATTTCATCGGATACGTTCAAACCACGTTCCTTTGAGCGCTGAAGAATTTGGTAGAACCTAACGCGCCTGCACCTAGAATTACGTAGGCTGCACAGACTCACCGTTCTTCTAGATCGAAACTTCCAGGAGCCTACCTCTTGTAACTGACGATCCAATCAGTGAAGTTATGAGCCTTGTGAATAGATACTACCTCTATATACCTTCAAAGAAAAAAAAAATGGAATGTAGAAGATTAATTTGAGAGTACAGACTACGCAAACACGGTATCTTGATATTTTCTACTTTGATTGAAACCATATCTGTTTACCTTAGAATACCTGGAGTGTTATAAAGTTATTCGATTTTAAACGATATTCCTAACGACACAGAAAAATCATGGGACCGAAAAAGCCAAGACACCATATTAAGCAAAAGATAGCATTTTCTATAAATCATTTCTTATTAGTTATGAGCATCTACACAAGGTAAGTGAAGGCGAGATATCGACTTGTTTACCCTACAATGAAAACCTTTCTTGATCTCCTTTTAAAGAGATCAGTTAAATTACCTCCACAAATATCTCTGCTCCGTGAGCCTTCGCATCAGGCAGGTAATTAAAATTCAATGTGTTTTTAGTTCCCACATTGCAGCCTGAAAAACAATTCCCGCACGCTGTGCATTTAGGTTTGGGGATACCAACGTGATTCGATGGCGTGTCCTTGAACGTGACGTAAAGAGATGTCTTGAAAGCACCTTATCAAAGTCCTCGATATCAATCTTGCTTAATCCATCCCTCATTCGGTCAAGTTTTTTTAAGGGGTGGGTAATTGTCAGGGTATGGCGTTGGTTTTATTATATCAACAAAGTGCTGCTGATCGATTGTCAATAACTGATCCACGTCGTACCTTAGTTCTTCTAGCCATGCCGGGTCCTGGAACACCCCAGGCTCCGCTTCCAGTCCCACATTGGCATTCACCAGAGAACCCCCACCAAGACCGCACCCTTGAACCACTGCCAGGTCATCAGTGACGATCAGTTCGTGTAAATCAGAGGGCTGACCTAGAAATTAGTCGAGACTAGCATCTGTTGGGGAGAGCTTTCTTTGCACTGAGTATGTGTAACTTTATCAATAATAACGCAAATGTGCAGAGGAAGTCTCTTCAGATTATAATTCGTAAACCCTAAACACTGTCACAACTGACATTGTGCAGACGTTATTTCTTTCAGGCTCTTTGTACGTGGAAATTGGTTGAAAGTACCTTATCCTTTTAAGACCCAAGGTAATTTGGCAAAACAAAATTGCAGAACACTGCAGTGAGAATAACCATGATTGTTATCGTGAAATAGATTTACCATAAGAAAGTTCTGACTTTTTACGAAGTTATTGTCTTCAAGATCAACAATATTATAGTAGCATTTTAAATCGATCTTTATACTCTCGTTTGACTTGTGTTTATAGACAGCTCGCAATTTATTTTTTAAAAAACACTTATTTTCTCTCCGAGCTGATTATGAGCCATACCTAACTTTCTTCCCTTGCCACCAAAATTGACTTGTGCATGTTCTGGTGCTTTTCTGAAAGTCTCAGGAAAATCACCCAGTAACCACTCCTTGCCTCGTTCCAGAACGCACTCTGATTGACCAGCGCGTGAGCAGCGGCTTGCGGCGATGGATGTCCCATAACCAGATCCAATCACTACGACGTAATACTTGATCAAAGAATGTGGCGAGGATATCCTGTGAAATAAAGGCTTATTTTTAACCTGGATTGTGAGGAAAAAATTATGAAAGATGATTAGATGTGAAGCATTCATTGATGCCCGCTACTGAGTCAAAACAAGCATACCGCCAAAGGAAAGGGATTAGACTTACCGGTGAGTTTTTTTAGAGCAAACCCCAATACTTCTTCGGGAATTATAATTTGCTATCTAATATACTCACATGATAAATCTTCAATTAACATCACGGTAAGCAGAGTCGTTTTGATGATGCACAAGAAGGCCACCATTTACTACAGCTACATTTTAGGCACATTAATCAAAATATTTATTTAGGGACATAAAATCTCCGGTAAGAAAGTCTCGGTGGGATTCAGTAGTAGTCGCAAAACGACAGAAAAAAAAATTCTGTTGGGCATAAGAGTTGAGAAATTTCAACCGTTATTAAAAGATTGTTAACTGCTGTTAGTCGTAAAAAAAGCTAAAGATAGTAAACTGTAAAAAAAATCCTGTAAACCGCGACGGAAAGAAATTAACCGTTAGCCATAAAATGGCCAAAATTTTACACGTTGCCGTAAAAGCCATCACCCCATGGAGACCCTCTAATTAGAGCCAAGGACAGGAACTCTCAAATTTCAGCCGAATTTCGTGTAACTTACTTCTGCCTACTTGCTCTGAAAAAACTGACAGTGACTCGGAAAACTCGCTCTTGTTCGAGAGGTGGTTTTGTTTACTGAAATTTTAAGATATGGGGACTTCTGAAATTACATCGTATCTTTGAAGTTTGTAGAACTGGCGTCATTCTTGCATTTTTTTAATTACTTAAGGTAGGCAAGCATCAGGGAAGAAAAAGAAAAAAAATCATCTTCTCTAGGCTTTTTGTGAAGCAAATTTGATTGCTTTTGCAGCTTTAAGACTAGACTTTTCTTAAATTTCTTATTTTCACCTTTTGCTATGATCATGATTTTAATAAAAATTTAATACAAAAATGCTGCATTTAACCTGAAGCAGATGATAGAGAAATTTTCATCTTTTTCTGTTGAAAATCATACAAGGATTTATTTACTCCTCTGTAGTCTTTTCTTGCTTTGTTTTTTCTTTCTGGTTATTTTAGAGGCCTCAGCAAGAGGTCCCATGGACTTTCAGTTATACGATATGCAAATTTGCTGACTGACTAGAGAATGATGCTCTGAAAATGTGAGAAAGGTTTGCCAAACCCTAACTTTGTCGTATTTTTCGATTATCTTTTCATCGATAGGAGTGCTCTTCCCTTTTTTTATGAAACATAGGGCTACCTTTTATATTCATAATTATACTTTTTCTTTCTCTCTCCTGACGGTGCACCAAAAGAAACGGTTGCACTTACATGACCTCTCCTGCGCGGTTTTGAAGATTCATTTCCCATTACCACTACTTCAGTGAACCGAGGTCCCTTTAGGTCTGTGGTTTTAATTATCTGAATACATGAGTTTAACAATGTTTGTATCAGTGACACCCATATAACATTCAAGGTGTAAAGGCCGACTTGCAACTGAAAACGCTAACAACATTCTGAACATCTGTACCTACAGAAGAAAAATTGTGTGATATAGGCCTTGTTTGTTGTTTCAAGCCATTGTTCATGCCTGAAGCTGTTGGCCATTGGTACAAGATACTGGAACCATAGAAACCTGACATTGCTTTTAGAAACCCGTGGCTTCTTTTTGCAGACAATATTCACAAAAACGTTATTAATTAATGACAGATGGGCTATTTATGATCAGAATCGGTGTTTAAAAAAATCTAGAATGCTTGTCTTATGCTCAGACAACTGGTGTAAACATTAAGGGGTAAACACGACAGATTGTCGAGAGTATTATATCTACGTTGAGCTACTGTTTGAATTTGAAGAATTATTTTTGATACCTTTTTATTTCCTTTTTTTTTAATTTTGAAACTTAGTATGTCGTGCTTATCGTTATTCCTCTTACTTTAAATGCATGATAATGTAAAGATTCATAAAATATGGACTCTACAAATACAAACCAGCAGTCAATTAACATTCTATTGGTTAATTCGAATGTTCGAGAACATGAAAGAGACTTTTGAAGTTAAAGAAAACTTGTCTCTTTCTCGAACATTATCTTCGTTTGATTCGTTTATCCTGCCAAACAAACCTTTAATGGCTTGCTACAGCATTACTCAATGACTCGTACGCGTCCATAAAACCATTGTTTACTGTGTGACAACAACAACTAAAACAATCCACACATAGTATACAGATGGTCATACTTATACAAGACGGCCATGAAATCCATCGAAAAACTTGAAACGCACATGGCTGGAGAAACTGTGTTTAATGTTATTCTGATCAGCGGTACTCTTACAAAGCATATCAACTTAACGAATTAAACCAACAAGACTGATCAAAACGCATCTATCTGCTATTGTATTCAAATACTAGTACTGGTACTCATTATAATTAAGATTGCACATTACTCCCGGAATCGTCCTGATCTTTAAAATCGTAGTAGCAAGACGAGATGAGTAGCAAGCGCTACCATGAAACATTATAATCATTGCCTGACAGGACGTCTGCCGGAAAATGTCTTTAATTGAGCTGAGGCAATATTGACTACCTGCAGCTGGTTCTAGTTGTCAAGAAGAAATTTATTCATAACATAAGATGACACGGTGGATGATCTTTTCTTAGCTTCTTCAATGGAAAGTTGCTTACTGACAGCTTTGTTTTCCTTTTTTCCAAGCATGTCCCGGAGTTTGCATGATCTACATGCAATTAACCTCGATATTTCCTGTCGATAATTTTCATTTAAGATAGTGTAACATATAGGATTGGCAGCGCTGTTGGAAAATATTAGAATATTTGTGAAGGCGATCAACTCCCAAAAATATTTGCATTTCCTCTCAGCGTCTCCATAATCCAGCCAGAGCCACATGACGTTGTTTGGCAGTACACTCATAGCGAACAGCGTCGTCACCACCTTCAGCATGCGTACTACTTTCCGGGCCTCCAACTCCTGAACATCTTTCATAGACTGGTTGCCATTCTCCGCTCTTCTTTTCAATTCTTGGCTGATGCTAAAATATGCAGTGAACATTATACAGAATGGCAGGAGATACTGGAAGAAGAAGATGACTGAAGTGTACACTTTGGTGGAGGTGGAGTCGTTCCAGCTCTCCTCACAGATGTGGAGCTCTGGATTAAATCGTAACGCTTGAAAATACGGAATAACGGGAATGGAGGCAAACAGCCACAATCCAATTATGATTATTTTAGCGCCAGATTTGGTCAGCTGCCTCTTCATAGGATATACAATGGCCCTTTGCCTAGCCAGGCTCACTGCTGTTAGGGTATTCACAGAGGCGAAGAGCAACAGTGTTTGTATGGGGTACAATATTTTACACATGATTGAACCGTACGGCCAGATAGAGTTCAATTCTTGTACTGGTATATCAAATGGGATGCAAAAACAGTTCAGCGTCAGATCAGCGATGGCTAAGTTAAGAATGAAATAATTTGTGACTGTCTTCATTTTTTTACGTCTCAAAATGACGATGCAAACAAGACTGTTTGCGACAAGGCTTATAACAAAAATTATGACGTATAAACTCAACTTCAAAACCCTCAGGTAAAATGGAAACATAGGAAGCGACGGAGACGATTCGTCGGTGCTGTTTCCCATACTCCACGGATTCAATTAAATCCTGCCTCGTCAAGCTGATGTTCCGATATGCTGTGGAAGAAAGAGAGTCTCACAGTAGGAAAAATCAACCATTAGCTTAAACCTAATTTCGTAGTTTGAACTTTTTTCCTATTTTTTTTTTGTCATTATTTTACTTAAGGTATTGCATGTTGCTCTTTCTCAATATCCTTTTTATATGAAAATGTAGCAATTCATTCTGTCTTTCTTCTGGTCGATTTATACAGAGCACTATACCTCTTCAGAAGTCGAATTATTTTCGACTCAAAAAAAACAGTCAGTTTGAATGTTATTCAAAGCCGATTGAAATGGTGAAGCACGATTGCATGTGCTGCTTCCGAAATCATTAACTGCTCAAATATACTTCAAATAAACTTACCTTTAAAATGAAAGTTCAGAAAATTGACACAGCAAAAATTCTATATGTATTGGGGCACTGAAGATAAAGCTTCTGATTCTCGCTGAAAGATTTTAGTTTTGGGTTCGGCAACCATGCGAAAATGCTAAACCTGATGTGTAACCTATATCGAGAATCTTTATTCAAAACACCTCATTTTTCTTTGACAAGTTGGACCTCACCTGCCATCCTTTTTAAAATGTGATAGCAAAACAACTTCATTTTGCAAACAGAAACTTGATTAATTTTCATGCTTCCTGTCGCGCAGTGCGTATTAGTCAAAACATTCCAAAATTAAAAATTTACAGTAACGACTTTTATCTTTAATTTTCTGCAACTGCGGACAACGTGGCTAAATTAGGAGCAGATAAATTAAGTTTCACAAAGCTTGGAAGCATCTCGTCTCCCTATCCAGCAAGCTTTAAGGATTTTCATTTGACGTTCGCAAATTGAACGCTTTTTAATTATCTGCACCTCCTCCGCAAATGTTGACATAGTTGTCTTGCAGAGAAGATTGCTTTTTTGAATTAGGTCTGTAAATGAGAATCCTGGCCTCGCTTGAGGAATGATTTTTGTTTGTATTACTTAGCGAAATTTAATTTCTTTTGTTTCCTAAAGTCGAAGAAAATATTATTATTTATTTATTCACTTCAATAACTGGTCAAACGATTACAAAGTTACATGGTCAAACTTAAATTTTTTTGATTTATTTGCCTTTCATTTACATTTAAAGTTTACGTAGAGAAGACTTGAAAGAGAAAGAAAAAACGAGATTACATCGCCGAGTGACAAGTTATTCTTTTATAAATTATTACAGTCCGGATCTTGATATTAGTTTACTAGACGTTTTTATATCTACATGTTGATTTTGTTTTCTCATTTTAATTCTCTTTCGGGTCTCGTTGTCTCTTTATTTCTCTTTATTTACGTCTTTCTAAACGTACTTATATAAATTTCCGGGCGGAGAAAAGTTACGAAAAAAGATTTAGAAACCGAGAAGATTGGTTTACAGTCAGATGGCGGTTCGTGACGTCAGAATGGGTTGTCATGGTCTGATTCCATCTCAGATAATTTTGAAGAAATTCATGGCAAACTCAGAATGATTTAAATGTTGTCCGCTCTTTGAAAAGAGAAAAGTACATTTATGTCAAGCCGAAATAAATTAAAGTTAAAGGGAATTTGATCTGTTAGATTAAAAGGACTCGGATTTGATAATCAACCAGCAACGGCAATCAAATTGATCAGATAACATGTTCATAGATTTTTCATTCGGCTCAAGGAACCTTTTTTGGCATCAAATTATTCTCATGTGAAATGAAAATTAAACAAATAAGTGAGTAAATTAATGAATAAAGACATAGATGAATAACAAAGCTCAAAAATGGAAAGAAAAGCAAAAGCTAATCATAGTAGATAAAACCATGCCTCCAAAGATATTTATCTCGTGTCCAGGCCCTTGTAGAGTTGTTTAGTTCACACTTTTTCCATACTGCTCCAAAGTACTCGTAGTTGAAAGAAAAGCATTTATCTCGGGACAGGCACCTCTTTAAGCACTCTGTGACGTTAGCGACGAAATATTCTTCAAATGCCTGATCTATAAGAGCGTGATCCCTGTTGTCGAGTTCGGCAGACATGAATCTTGATGGACGAATCAGATGACCAGCTGTTGGTTAAAATTTGAGAGTAGCAATGGAGGCAATAGGTTTTTATAAAGGGGAAAGTATCATGGCTGTTCAGTCCGTTTGATAAGTAGTTTGTATTACAAATAATCAAAACTATGACAACGTGATTGGTTATCACAAGCCGATTTGGGCACCAATAGGACAGTTTACGCGTGATGCTTGTAATTGGACAGTGTAATAGGACAGTTGACACGTCATGCCTGTGTAAGTGAACATAATGTACAGTCGCGCATATCGCCGAGTCAGCTGTTTTTTTTGTTTTTGTTTTTGTTTTTTTTTCACGAAGACGTATAACCGATATCTAGTTTCTTTCTCAAATTTTGTCATAGTCTTGATTAATTGGTTACAAGACTTCGCGTCGTCCAATTCTGTCTGTAATCATACTCGTAATAAACAACTCGTTAGAGCTGATAAAGGGCTAATGCTTTAAACTCTTTACGGTGGTCAATTTACGTTATCGACTCAGTGGATACTAAATTACCATGGACTCCACTCAGTCCTATTGCCATTATTTATCAAAAATGTAACAAATTCACGGACGTGCTCGGCTATCTCCACCACAATTTGAGCACCAACATGACAGCGTATGCTTCATGCTCGCCGATTGGAAGGTGATTGGGCAGTGTAGGCGTCATGCCTGTGTAATTAAACAGTATGCGTCATGTGCAGGCGCTCTCTTGGTGAATTTTGCTAAGTTAACGGTTTTTTTTCCTTTTAGGAGAACGTATAACCAATCGCTAGTTTTTTGTTGTTTTTTTTTGCAAATTTTGTCAGAGTTCTTATTATTTAATTGTAACAGGAATTCGTGTTGTCCAATTGGGGCTGTAATCAAACTTTTATTCACCTCTTTTGCATACATACGGTCTCTTAACAGAGCAGGCGATATCGTTCCACTTGCCGCTGTTTACCAAAGTCTCCACACAGTGTTCAACGCCCTTGATGTTGTTTGGCTCCCCGATATTCCAATTTCTATACGTCACTTTAGTACCATCAATCCAAAGAAATGAGCCACCTTTAAAATTAAGCCCGATCCAAGCGCTCCCGGACTGCAGAGGCTTTACAAATAAACTGTAAATAAAATCCATTTCCTCTTGGCTTTTTATCACAACAAGATCCGCATTCATAGAATTACAATCCGCCAGACCTTCCTCCCATGTTTTCGAGCGACTGGATATTTTGTAGCAGGATGTGTTAAAAAACTTCCATCCAATTCCACAAGCTTCAGAATCTAATGAAATGCAATTCAATTTACCTTAATTTTATGGAACGTGAATAAAAGGTAAATATTTCGATCGATCAGCGTTGATCGGATTGGGAAGAGTTCTCGCTACTACCATCCACGGAATACAGTCTCGCTCGATGGATTTGCTAATCACGTGATGTGACTACATCTTTGAGCACGAGGTCTCAAAAGGAATGGATTCGAAGAAGAGGACGAAGGATATTTTAGAATGAAAAATAATAGTAGATAATGCGACAAACTCACGGCTGGTTTCTTAAAAAATCTAGGAAAAAAGGAACGTTGATCAGTTTTTTTTGTCACACTAAGTGAATAGGTGAGTCGAAATGATCATGGCAATCACTGTGGTGATGCAAACATTTGGACGCCAGGCTTAAATTTTTGCAAGGAGCTGTTTATTGCAAGGTGACAATTTTCCTTTATGAAGTGGTTGGTTGATGACCTAACCTGATTAACGTGAAAGGTATCACATCTATTTTGGCGATAGACGGATACATAAATTTTTTTTTTTTATTAAACAAGAGAAGATTTGAACATATAACATGACCGAGCACAAATTAAAATTTCTTTAGCATCGAATCATGTACTGATTAAGTTGTAATACATGAACGACCTCATTCTTTTTTAACTATATTTCGACTTAAATCATAATTCTTGGAAATCCTTGAATGGGCCGAGTCATTTACCATTACAATACACTTACCCAGTTGATCAGAACACCCAAAAACCACTGACAAAGCGGGACAGGCCAGTAAAACCCAAAACTTGTACAACGAAAGAGTTGGCCTAAGATAAAACATCCCCGCCAAAGATTGCTTCAATTCCTTCTCTCTCAGTCGTCACCTTAAAGAGATCATATTCTTCTATTTCGTGCTCCTCTCCGTCCGAACGTGAAGGTCAAAGTGACAAATGACCGTCTGACTCTTTTTTCATTACCAATGTTTGCTCAATAAAGCCGCTTACATTAAATCTCTGCGCACGGAGTAATAAACTTGATAAAAACTGTATTTGCCATGCTTTTTGCAATATTTGACACTCAGATGTCTAAATTCAAGCCGCTCTTTCATAAAATTCTTTATAAAAAAAAATTGTAATGCTAATGAAAAAGCAATAAAATTGTTCAGTGCCAAACTAAACTCAGGGACTCTCATATATAGGACGAAAGGTTCCCCAACTGGACTGACAACCGGATAAAAATATTGCAACTATCACTGTGAGTTGCATGCAAGGTTTTCATAATTCGGAGAAAATGACAGTAATGTATTTCTCATAACGTTAAGGTTACAATATAATGTCAAGAAGCATGCATATTTTTGGGGTTCAGAATCTTACCCGTAAGTGAATTTATTCCATTCCAGAAAAATAACAATTTCAACAACACGTCCTTGATGTTTT